TACATTATTCTTGGAACTAGTTTCTTCTTGGCCCTTTCCTCTCCCCGTGGGAACACTTTGGTTGTCGTGGTTGAAAGTTAGTGGGAAAAGACTTTTGTTTCTCACTTTTTCCCTTCTCTCCTGAATGACTTTCCCATTTTAGAAGCGGCTCTATCAAAGTCTTTGTAGCTGCTGGCTCATACCTGAGTCAGCTGTAGTAAATGAGCTTGTGCAATTGCTGGGAATCCCCAGCAGTAAGTCCCATGGGGAATCACATTCTGTTCAGGCCTCTGGGTCCTCGTCTGTTTGGGGGAGATTTAGGCCAAAGCTCTCAAAAGCTGGACCCCTTGTCCCTCACACGCTGCAACTATACACTGTCATTTCTAACCAGAATTGCTCTCTTTCCCAGGAATTCTCTCTGACTTTCATAATGTAGCTTCTGATATTTGGCTAATCTAGAGTTTGTTCCCTTATTACCTGTCCTGTTGTATTCATCCTACAAGGCCCAGATCCATACCCACCTTATCCACGAGATCTGGCAAGACCATCCCATATGCTACTTCTCACTCCCAATATACATAACCATTCATGTCACTCTCCCATACTGATGGTTAATATCAAGCCCTCTAGCCTTCTACAGATTATGAAATCCATGATGAAAAGAGACCTGGATTCCTCTTCTCTGCCATCCCCAAAATATGTGCAAATAGATAGATTTCATAATGAAACATTATATTCTAAGGCCCATAGAACTCTAAGTTTGGTTTAAAAATAGAAGAAAACTTCAAGATGGGTAATGAGATGTCAGAGAAGTCCATTGCTGATATCATAAATACTTTTGATTTTCCAGGACTAATTTCAGCCTCTAAATTTTTCCCGAGTCTCCTTCAAATCCCTATGTCACCCAAACCTTGTAGCCTCCAGTCTGAACTATAGCTACTACTGTCATTGGAAGCAGCACCAATTTCCGAGGTAGATTCTTGTTTGACTCAATCACCAAATGTAGAGGATAGAATATAATAAGAATGGCTAAAACATCTACACTCTCACTCTTCATGGTATACTTGTATTGAGCATTTTACTTATATTCATCATGTTATCCTTACAACGACCAGATGGTATAGACACTGTGCCCTCCCCATTTTATAATGCAGTCAATTTAGGTTGAAGGCAAATTCTTGCTTTTCCTCCTGTTGAAAAGTGGGGTTCATATCTCCTTTCGTGTACCTGGAGAAGCCCTGGAAGCAGACCAATAAAGTATGGTACAAGTGACACTGTGACATTTCCCAGACTCAGGCTAGAAATAACTAACACCTTCTAAGGAATTAGAGAAGTCCCTCTCTCTAGGGCCCTGAGCCTCCTGAAGGAAGATTGATTACTTTGCAGGAGAGACCATGAAGACATGAGAGGCAAAATAGCCCAGCCAAGTCCAGTCTTTCCAGTTAATTCATCAGGCACAAGGTGTATGAGGGAAGCCAGACCCATCAAACCAGAGCAGACATGGAGTGCTACCAGTCAACTTCAAGGGGCAGAGAAGTTGCCTCCTTGAACCCTGGCCAAATTTATGACCCACCAAATTGTGAGATCTAATACTGATTATTGTGTTAAGCCACCAAGTTATGGGAAAGTTTGTGGGTTTTTTTTTTTTTTTGGTAATAATTATCTATAACCTATGACTTGTTCAGGGTCACTTAACTAATATGAGATTGAATTAGATTTTAAAACCAGGCCATCTGGCTCTACATAAATGTTCTAGATCATATAGCCTAACCAGTGAGGAGAAAATGTGCAAGGACCCTGATTATTCTAGAAGGAAAATTTTCTCCAAGCTACTCTCCGTTCAGTTGTTAAATGAGTGTAAGGTAGATAATAAACCTGTTTTGATTTCCGTTTATTCAGTATTTATTTCCTGAACATGTACTAAATGTCAGATCTTTTACTTGAGAACTCTCTCTCTCTCTCTCTCTCTCTCTCTCTCACACACACACACACACGCACACACACACACACACCTTCTTTATCAATGTTTACCTTAATTTTTTTTTTTTCTGAGAGCACAAAGAGGCATCCTTCTTAGTATAGGGTTAAGATCAGATGCTTGGGCACAAAAGCCCTGAGTAATTTCACATAGTCCATGTCATTCACAAGCAATTCTACACTCATGACTGTAGCAAACTAGAATATCAGAAAGATCAAAGCAACAATTACTTCTGGGAGACCAGAGCATTGAAGAGCTCTATCAGCTTAAAAACTACTTGTTCACATTCTCACACAGTTAAGAGCAGCACAGAAAGCACTTTACAGGTTTCCTTTGATCTGAAATCAACAATGGGCAGGGTCCACCAGAAATGAACTCCTCAAATAAGGTTTTCTTAGTACCAGCTTTAAGAAGGAACCAATAGGTTTTGAATAGCCACATTTTTTTTTGTAGGCTCACATGCTTATTTTTTTTCCCCCAGAAGAGACTCATTTTAGGACAACTTTGCTTTAATAATATTATCAAAGCAAAAGAGGATACAATAGAATATCATTTGGAAAATGTTCTGTGATTTCACACAGATGAAAAATGAATGATGAATCTGGTGAATATGAATTCCAATCTTCCCTACTTTTTTTCCCCCTGCCTCTAAAGTGTCTCCCTGAGATCAGAGTTTTATGAGACCTCTTCATCCAAGAAAATGAGCTAGATCATAAAGGCGAATTGAAGCTTTTGGAACTGACCTTCCTCCCTCAAAGTCTCCAGAGTCTTCCTGGAATTGTCTTAAACTCTGGATTAGTTCCAATCTAATTCATTCTCCTATTAGTTAAGTGACCGTGATTGATTGTTGTGTACTCAGTCCCAACATAGGCTAGATGTGATCTATAGAATATGTTTAAGACCAGAATAGGCTTGGATTCAAGGTTTTCAAGTTTTTGTGGAGCACATGGTTGAGTTCTTATGGCTCCTTGGCAAGAGCAAAAAAGTCCCCAACCCTTGGCTCATCATTATTTCCACTAGTTTGTCTTAAAAACAAAACAAAACAAAAACAAAAACAAACCAGAGTTCTTTTGTCCCTCACCCTCACCCCAGTCTAATCAATGCTGCAAGGCTATTGGCTTTCCTCCAAGGATATGTTTACACACCCTTAAAAACAGAGTGTCAATAGATTTATAATACACTTTTATGGCCTTGGTAGAAGTAAAAGGAAAGGCATGTAAATGTAACTCAATTGTTACTGGACTCTAAGGAAAAGAGACACACACCAGAAAAAAGCTGTCCAGGAGGGCTCTTCCAGATGTCCACCTCCTCCAAGAGACCCCAGGTTACTTGCAAAAATTCTGCACTTTGAAATCCACTCTTTATCCAAATCCTTGACTTTCTTAGTTTGTAGAAAGAGTTTAGGGACTCACCCAATCTGCTCTCATTTATGTATTTGCCACAGGAGGGAAGGCCAAAAACCGACAATTACCATAGCTTAGTCCCTGAATCCCTGTGTAAGATTAAATCCTCCCGCGGTCAGTGAAAATTTGGCCTTAAAAAGGACTACAGGATCAGCCATTCCTACGAAGAAAAAGCCATTTGCTCCTCTGCTTCCCACAGAGTTAGCAGAATATATTCTGACAGAAGCAAAACAAGTCTGCCAAGTCCTGTGCAAACAGAACTATCCTTTCACCAACAATAAACAGATCTACTCTTGAGCTATAGAGAGTCATAATAGAAATATATATTGCCTTTTATCTTCTTTTCAGTGAGTGGAGTGAGGTGTCAGGAGTTATTGCTTTAATATTGGCAGAGAAGCAGTATTTCTCTCTTTCCAGCATGTGCATAGGTATGCATGCAACAGCACGTGTGATGATAAGACTGCTACTCTTAACCTTTGGAAAACACATAAAATTGACTGGTAACATCATCAGCATGTACAGTTTCAAATTGTTCCTATGGAGTCAGGTAAGAAGCTGTCTGAATTTCTGCTCAAAGAAAAGGAAAAGGGAAGAGAACATGCTGATCTCTACTTAGCTCACATATACTTAATTCAGAAGACTGGAAGTTTAATTGATGGTTAACACGAAGTTGACAATGTCCATCAGAGTCAATGGAAGGGTGGTGTCAAAGGCTCAGTTGGACTCCTGGATTCTGTCTTAAAACTGAGAAACAGAAGGGACAAGTACGGATCTACTACATTTTCTATGAACACTAACTAGGCTAAGGGTGATTTCACCACTAGTAATTGGAATGTCTTATTTTATGCCAGAGCATTTAAAGCTAATAACTCGATTAACCTCCTACCCCCTACTAACTAGATTTATGAAATGCCAAGGGAGTCAGCAAAGTATTAAGCATTAGCTTGGATATAATTACTTTAAAGTGAAAAAACAAAATCCTTACCACAAAACTAAGGGCTTCCTGCCTAGCTAAATTCAAACCTTCACATTTTCTAATGTAATTAGTATCTTGGTTAAATACAAAGGAAACAAAATGGACCGAAAAATGACAAGTAATTAATCAAGACTTAATATCAAACACAAAGACTGCATATTATGAGGATTAGTTGAACTTCTAGCTCCAATTGCCCTTGATTTAATGGTACCCATTGGCCCCAATAATGAACAATTCACGTTCCAGCAAAGCCATCTGGAGGATGTGAACAGAATTGAGCTAGGATATAGTGTTTTCTATGATCACAAATTTTCCTTTTGCCTTTTTCCCTTTGTGCTATTTGAAAAGAAAAGGTAATAAAATGAGAGGAGGGAGTATTTCATACTAAAAGTGTAGTCCATTGCTCATTTTGAATAAAAGCTTTACCATTTCAGTGAAAAAATACGATAGGAATAATAACCTAGGAGTGCCTAAAGACTTTTATAACTTCTTTACCAGTGACTTCATCTTGTTCTACTACTGGATCTTATTATTATGAGCATCTGCAGGCATCTTTCTTATAACATAGCAACTCAATATCTTTAACTATATAGAAAATGGACCACAATAGTAAGGTCTTAAAGGCAAAGGTACAGAAGTAACTAACACCTGGAAGAAGGCTTACCTGAATGCTGGCTGTGGAGCGATTCTTGCGGGTTGTGGTAGTAGCCATTGTGGTGGTGGTTTCCATGACTGTGGTAGACATTTCCGGTGGCATGGAGGTCGTCTGGGTTGTTCCCAAAATGGATGGGACTTCTCCCACCAGTCGGACACTTCCATTGATTTTAATATTAGGGTTGTTCTCAGCTGCCATATTCAGTACTTTCAAACCATCATAATAGAGCCCAGAGAGTTGACCTTGGAAGAGGCGTCCTTTATCCTTCCCGCCAATGGCTATTTGCGCCTGGGTGTTGAAGATGGTTAACTGCCGGCCTAGTGGGTTGGGTGGAGGAAACATTATTATTCCCATACATTTTCTCTCCTTACCTTGCCTGGTCTGAATGGATCAGGCACAAAACAGGCTTCCTTCAGCAAATGAAGGGAGGAAATGGATAACAAAATTCAATGTCAGCATTGGCAAGTAACATTTCATTACAGTTATCTCTTCCACTGTCTAGCTGAAAATCCTGAACCATCAGGTATTTATTTATTTATTTGAAGGATGAAGAAATCTTTGTTCAGTGATGAGAGGCATGTCAGTCTTCTTGAGTATGTAACTCAGTCTTCTTGAATGTTTCTATTTATTTAAAAAGTGGATAACATAAATATCCAAATCAGGCAATGATTAGAAAAAATAATATGTGCCTACAGCTTTGATTTGTTTAAGGTAAAAATTAACATTACAACCTAAAGGAGTTATATATATGGCAAACAAAAACTCAGTGAGGTAATTGGGAGCAAGGAATTAAAAACCTAGGCCTGATGATTAAATTAAATTCATATTAAATGGATTAATTGTATACTTAAAAATTTGACATTCTAGTAGTTGCCCAATACACAATTTCCTAGTGAATAATATCCTGCCATTATTTTTTGTTTAACAATATCATTGCAGATACATTTCTATATATACCAATATTTTTATAGAGTAGGAGGTATGGTCATAGAACTAAATAATTCCCTAAAATATGGAAAATAAGTAGGCATTGATAAAGTTCCTAAACTTTAGAATCAGTGAATTTTAAAAATGTATTTATAAAGAAAGTGAGTCATAAAWCTCTTTAAATGATATAGAGATATGTTAATGGGAGGAAGAATATATGTGGTTTACTTTATTTAGAGTTTCTATTTGAGAACTATAATTCTGTGGAAAGAAAACTATTAGAATAAAATCATGGTAGAATAGAGTTTGGAATCATGGAACTCAACAAATTTTACTCCCAACTATTTGTGTTTATTTTTTTTTAAAAAATGTCTCAAGTTAGATCTTTCCTAGAAGGGAAAAAAAATATTTTGAAAACTCATTGTAATTTATCATGATAGCAACATGCTAAGGCCTTCTTGGTTTCTTTAGACTGATTCCTTCYGTTTTATCATATGGAGAAAGGGAACAAAAAAGATACTTGTTAATGGAATTAGATATATCCCTTCTGAATTTTGTTTTTGGTGATCAAACAATGTTCCATTCATTCTTAATCTAATCACCTAAGTTGTTTTAGTAAAAAATAACTGGAAACAATTTTGTTATTCTTGTGTGTTTCATTTAAAAAAAATGTAGTTTTAAAAGGCTAAGGTTTTTGTTGCACAATCTCTAACTTAAGAATAGTATTATATTTTGATGTTTGGAATCTTAACAGCTACCACTATCACAGAGTCTTAAAGGCTATGCCACCCTTGAATTTCTGGTGTATAATATGGAATACCTTCTCATTGTACACTAATATGAGACAAGGAGGAGGCAGAGAAGGGTAAGCATGTACTGCTCAAAGGGTACTCTTCAGACAAGAGTCAACTCTGCTCATTGGGGCAACTCCTAAGTCCTCTTACTCAAGAATCATTTATAAATAATGCCCATTTAGGAGGTTGAAGAATTGATCAGAGAACTTTATTACAGTGAGAATATTCTGTATTTTATAAAATCTCTGCAGCATAGAGAGGGCATCTGCTGGCCTCCACAGTAGCAGAATTTTCCTCATCCCAAGGGTGCAACCAGAACAAAGCTAATAGATCTCCATTATTTCCCAATCAATTCCTTCGGTGTCTTGTATATACATGCATCAAGCACAGTAATAGAGGGTGGTGGTCTAGAGTTCACATATCTTTATGGTTTATTCTTGACAACAGATTTTCCTGAGAGCCCAAAACTTACTATAGTAAAAATAGGATAATAGGAGGGGAGATGTAGTACCCTGATCTCTCATAGGCATTTGAAACAGCTAAACATAATACATCATAAGAAGCTGATTAATAGAAGATTTCTAGGGTGAAATATCTAACCCTAGAGGGCCCCAGGGTCAAGTAGCTCTTCCATGTATGCAGCTGTTGCCTGTTCATATTCTCATTCATATTCTCTCTCTCTCTCTCTCTCTCTCTCTCTCTCTCTCTCTCTCATATAAAATCCAGCATTGGTGATTAGTAAGTGGTTGAGTAGCTTTGATCATAGGTTCAAGGCTCTATATTCTAATATTCTTGAAAGTACTTCCCAATGATAACCCCTATAATGGTTCTCAACTTATTTTCCTGGAAATATTCATTCTGCCAATGCTTACAAATAAGAAGAGGACCAGAGGAAACTGAAATTTAGTGCTGAATTAAATTGGCTGGAAATGATGGATTACCTTCAATCCATTTGCTATAGTTTGCTCCATAAAGTGGTCTATGATTATTTGAGACTAACCCAAGAATTAGGAAAGGGGAGACATGATTTGGGACATGAAGATTAAATAGCTGCTTCACTGTTGGCTTACACTGCCTTTCCAGAGGGTTTTGACTACTCCCTTTTCGGAAACAAAGTCATTTGGGGTGGGGGTGAGAAAGAAGAGTTTGCCTCTGCTTTAGTTTCCCCTCACACCATTGGAAAAGTGGGGGTTTCTCTTTGCTTAGTTGTTTTATGGTCTTCTCTTAGCAAGACCTGCTCTTCTTTTTTGTGTCAAAACCTTCTCCTAGCCCTGTGTACCTTGGGTTAGGACTTCAGTGGCAAAGCTGGCAATCCCTAAAGGAAGAGTGGAACATACTTAGTTTCTTGCTGACCCTTCCTCTGATTGACTTCTCTCTCCCTGCTAAGCAGGAGCTCGTGGATAAGTGGGCAATGTCATTAATATGCCAACCCATGAAGGATGGGAAGGACCGACAAGAAAGATTACCTTTAATCATTTGTCCTGGATTTCTCAAAAGCAATGGCAGATCTCTTTATACACACTGTTTTCACTTCCTCTGATCAATTTTTATTAGATGACCATTTATTAAAAAAACATGCATACACACACACAAATACATACAGGTGTTCACACACACACACACATTCTAGACTGAATACTGTGAAATTATGACTGTGATATCAAAACAGGAGTTACTTTTTGTTTTGTTTCAGGTGCTCATCTTCTTGGAAGTCATTAATTGTTACCTCATTTCGACAAGTCCACATACGCTTAAATTAAATCTTTGCACGTCTCCAGTCAGTGTTGCACAAAGACTAATTAATTAAACCTCAGAACACCCTTGGGGAATTGRCAGTATTATTTCTCCTCTCCTCAGATGGGAAATCTGAGACATAAAGAGGTTAAGTGGATCGTCTAAGGTCAGACATTCAGTCAATTGTAGACAGAGCCGGAAATAGACTTGGGAATGCTATGACCCAAATCTCTTCCCCAGTGATAGAAATAATTCCAGAGACATTCCGAGTACTTCCTGAAGTGTCTGTCTAATCATCCTTCCATCTTTACCTTTCATATTCATTGTCTCTACAAGGTCTTTCAGGGAAGACCTTGTATCCTTTTTGCAAGGGAAGTTAGCTAGGCAGAGGAAGAGGTAAAGTAATAGAATAAATAGATGTTACTTACCCAAATTAGAAAAAATAAGGAATACCAGTGAAAATAACTGATAGACGGGAACCTCAGTTTGCAAATGAGCCTGTTTAATATTATTTGCATACATTAATCCATATGTATATTTGATTAAGAAAGTAGGATGCCTCCCTCCTTCCCATCTCAACCATGCCTCCCCCATCCCAGCCCTCAATTTGGGTATCTGAAGCATCCTTCTAAGTGAAAGCCAACTGATAATGATGTTATCATAAGAAAAACTCAAAGCCTACTAATAATTTATAATGATTTATACAAATGAAAATGCCTGGCATGCTATTAAACTTAGACTTCAAAAGGCAATGGAGTAAAATAAAATATTATTAACATAAAATTGAAAGAAACAAAAAAGTTCTCTCAGGCACATGAGACTCAGACATGCATCCAGTTCTCCCTTCCTTTGGAAAAGTGAGGCAGTCATTGTCTTTAAYGTTAAAGGGACTTTATGAGCTGGTGATTACTAAACAAAATTATTATATGCTTTTTAGAGTTATTCTTAATTTATTTTTAATTAGACCACATTTTTTTTTTTTCAAAACAGGGCAAACAGTTAAGACCTGGTGAGGATTATCCTTTTTAAAGGTCTGAATGTGTTCACCCATCTTAAAGCTGCAGTAGTTCTTGTTGCTTAAGTTGCATACCACATAATATCCCTAGTTGCTCTTCATATGCAAGTCTATCAAATCTCTGCAAATTGTAAGGGCTTGGTTGAGGTCTTGAGACAGGAGCGCTCAAGAAAAAATAAAGTACATAGCTCCTCAGAGATAGATGATATTCTTCATTGAAAAACAATGGTTCATCCCCTAAGCAAGAGAAGCCACACAGAAAATTCTAATGTGAGTTATATCCGCTGCCCTCTTTTATTGAGTGGTTGTTTCCTTCAGCAAATTAGAAACTGCTCTTTTGCCTTGTGCAGTCTTTTCCTTTCCAACTCTTGTCTTGACCACTTACACTTTCGTTGCATAAAACATTCAACACACAAAGGTATCACACAACAAAAGTGTAAAGCAACCTCRTTTTGTTTTGGTTTCTGTCAGCAACTAGGATGCAATGAATCTCTTATAAAAAAAAATAAAACAGAACAAAATTTTTTTTTTTTTGCCTCTGCAGGTTTGAATGCAAAAGCAAAATTCATTCTTTTCTTTGTTTAAAAACAAACGTTAAAACACAATGCTTCCCTTATAGCATTTGTTTTAAGCAGTTTAAGCTACTAAGAGTGGATCTATGGTTTTTTGGTTAACCATGCTACAACTAGGAAAATCAAAACAGCCTCGAGATATGAGTTTAAAAAGTACTTTTGAAATTTCTTTAGAAAGCTTCGGTRTAAGAGGTAATTTAAAACAAATTAACAAATAATGTCATGCAGTGGTTAAATTGCCATAATACATTTTTTTTTTAGAGGTTCCTGAAATTTCTTGTTTGTGGCTGTCATGCTGATAGCAGGCTAGATGTTAGTCCCTTTAACTGTATTTTAATGGCAATGTATTATAGCATGATTTATCAACATATGGCAGGTGGAAGCTGACACAAATTATAATGAAAATTAAAACAGTCATTTATGCAGCAGGCGATTATCATTTAAGGAACATTTATTTGCAGGCTTTAAAAATGAGGGTTTAGAATCAAATGATTTTAAAATGAAAGTTTTAACGACGGTTACCTTTTTCCTGCAGCCACTCTTCTACGGGTCGGTTATATTTGAAGGGGATTTTCTGTTTTACCATTTGGAAGCGTTCATTATCAGTGTTGCCTTTAAAGTTTAAAAAACAGCTTAAAGAACAATCTGAAAAGTCAATAAGTCATTAAAAAAAACATCCTAGGTTTTTGGTTTGTTTTATGAAGTTTTTAGAGATAGATATCAATTTATCTCAATTTATCTTTAGTAGAGGTGGAGTTGAAGTCACTCTGTCCTCGGATGATAGGTTTGGGGTCAGGTTAGTTTCGGCTATGCTGTGCTCCACCATGGTTTGGTCATGTGGAGTGGGTTTGGGACCAGTGCAAGGTATGGCCACTTACAGAAATAGGTTTACCTTCACTCTTTCCGTCTTATTCCAACCACACTGTAACCAGGCCAATTTAGGCAAGGGGATTTCTTTGATTTGTGAGTAATTCACCTGCCAGATCAATGTCACATGTGACAGGGGACACTCATCCCCTCAGTCACACATGTTCCACCATAACTCTACCTCATCCCCCTCAGAAGCCTGGGCTGAGTCCTTCCCCCATCTCCCCTTCTCAAGCATCTGCAGCAGCTGTACCCTTTGGCAGAGGGAAGCCAAAGATGACAAAATCAGCCCTTATGTGTGAGGGAGATGGCTAATTCCATAAAGGATACCCAGGCACCTCCTCATCTGTGTTAAGTAGGTAGGGGAGTAAAGGTGACTCTTTAGATCTCTCTTTGTCCCAGGTCATTACATATTAAAAAAAAAAGAGGAACTCCAAATAAATATCTGGAAATAAAGACAGTTATAATATAATGATACAGCTAATGCAGACTTTTAGCACCTATATCTCATTACTATGAGAGATGCTGACTTGTAAGTTTACCTAGTCCTTCCTCCCTCTCTTTCCCTTTCTTTCTCTCTCTTCCTCTCTCCCTCCCACCCTTTCTCTTTTTTTCTATGAGAATCTCTTCCTGAACAAACATCCATTCATAAAGCCTGTTAGGAACACTTCTTCCAAACATGAAATATCTAATTAGTTTCAAGGCTAAAACATAATGCTTTTAATGGCTAGCATCTCCCCCTCTTCCTTTGGTAACTGTTATTGCTACTCCTGGATGGTTTCTCTAATTAGGAGAGACTTGGAGAGTGGTGTTGTGGAGATTCACCCTTAATGAATATGCTTCAAATAGCAAAATAATGAAGCCATGCTTTGGGAACTGTTCTGTCTCGTCAGCCAACCTCACATTGATCTTGCAGAAACTAGGGAATTGTAATTCATCACTTTTGATTCATAGCCCTATATTGGAACTTAGGGAACTCCATTGCAAATTACCAATATTAAAAAATGAAATAAAAATCTCAAAACAGGTGGCCTGGAAATAATTTACAAAGAAGTCTGAAAGCCAGAAAGAAAATATTAAGTTTTAATACAGCATCAGACCAAGTGAGCAGAGCATGCATGGCATTTCAATTGTAGGGCCATCTCTATATAGGAATTATCATCACTTGAGAAGAATCCATGTGTGACTCACTAGGACCTTTATTCTGCTTGCATGTATGGGGGGATGGGATGGAAAAGGGTAGCAATACTGGGGGATATTGGCTCCCCATTCATCTCTTCAGTGAACAAATTATTTTAAGATGATCATTCATTATCATTACTATCCTCAAATTAAAAAAAAAAAAAAAAAACACAAGAAAGGCTACAGAAGAGGCAACTTTGGATGTGCTTCCAGCCTACACTATGGAGTCCTCTCTGGGTGGCATAAAACATAACATATTAGTATATCAAAGGAAAACTGAAGAGAAAGCACAATTAATAATTAAAAATTAATAGTTAATAATTTTGACTTGCAGTGGATAATTTCATTTCTTACCAAAGGGGAAAAAAAAGGAAGGGGGAGGTGAGTGACAGGCAAGGCAACTTAACCTGTTGGTGTTTCAGTAGGCACATAGTGAGAGAGAGAAATTAGTTTTACCTGTTAATATAGCTACTGATTACTGATCATTATAATGTTTCTCCCTGGTAGATCTGCAAACCTAGAATTCTATTAATTTGAAATAAATTTAGGTAAATTCTTTGATGTTTCTACAGAAAAGAACCAAGCACTTTCCTGAAAAGAACCTATATCACTAACTCTGAATTCTACCCCACAGTTAATAGATAGGGTGAGGAGTGTCATTCACCTTCTAAAGTTTTAAGCACAATGGCATACTATACTCAAATGGAATACTATACTCAAATGAAAACTGGATTGTGCCAGATTCTCCTTGAATAAATTCTGTTACATTGGGGTTTTCTGTCTCTATCATTTTTGGTAATAACATTAAATACAGCCATGACCTTCATTACTATATTTACTCACAGTGGAAATGTCTTGTGAGGTTAATAATAAAAATAAAGCTACAAATTCTTAGTAACATGCAAGGCAGAACTAGAAGCAACCAAAATCCAAATTGCCAGGGTTATATTTGAGCCAAATTAATTAATTATGTTGATTTGTTCCCTTCAAAAACATAGGGCTCTTGGCCCTCTGAAATATACCTATACCTGCCACCTAGTCTCTCTTGAGACATAAAGTACCATTGGAAATCATTTTGGGACATGGTACAGGCTAGAAAAAAGGGTTAATTATGTTGATCAATAAATGATATGGTGTGAGAACAGCATAGCCACAATTCAACCTTTGACCCTTCCAAAAATAAGAGAGTCATTCTTCTCCACCTTAGCTTTAAAGACATTTAGAAAAATATTTTAAGTTTTCAACACCAGATTGATAGCATCTGGTACTAAGGATAATAGTTGTGAAAGATGGAAGGTCATTTGGAAAACCAAATTGGGTTAAATTGCCCCATTAACATTGTTCTTAGTCTCTTTTCATGTTCTTGTTGGTTTTTATTCTAATTTATCTCAAACACTAGTAAGAACTGTTTTAGAAACATGTGCATGAGAATGAGTTCATTTGCCCCGAGCCCCATTCCCTAGATTAATTGAATAGCAAACAACCTTCAGCATATGAGAATTCATACAGAGCACTACTCCAAAAGCGGAACAAACCTCATCAAATTCATATATGTTCTTGTTAAATCCTTAATGACATTCATTTGTACATTTCATATAGCAACCAGTATGAAATTTTAAATAAAGAGTGAAATCAATTCTTTAACAGAAAACAAAACTGTATTCATGAAAGAATGGCTTTATGGGAAGTTATGTCATAATGGCATTAAAAAGAGGTATAAATGTGTTACTAATTCAACAAATATATAATGACTGAAGTTCTTAAACACACTGAGAGATACTTCAATTGTACAGAGATATTCAAATAGTTCTTAAATTACTTGTATAAATCTGACATTCACTTACATAGGACTGGATCTTGGAAAACATCTTAGTCACAGTATATTCAACTTAAAATACGTGTGTGTGTGTGTGTGTGTGTGTGTGTTGTATTGTGTTTCTGTTTATTCTCTTCCATTTGAGGTAAAGAATTGAGATTTTTCAGATAGTTGGCTTCCTACGGTCATTATCATTGGGATGATCGGCTTTGCTATCAAGTATTTCACCACCTGGAGACATGTACTCTATGCACTGTGGAGTTACATAATTGCAAATTGCAGAACATTCTGAATTGCAATTCCTAAAGCCCAACTGGTTCATACACCTAGCACCTTTGTGCAGAACTACCTCACATTTTCTACATTTGGGTGAATCCATTTAAGGTAAAAGGAAAAGGAAATGGAGGGAGAAAGGCAAGAAAAGCAAATTGAACCTTGAATATGTTCTCCAATAGACATCAGTATATCTGAGGATGTTAAATTTGTTAACAGTCCCAAAGGAGTAAAAATTGTTTCAAGTGAAGAACTGAAAACAGCACAGCATTATTCTTATACTTTATTTGTCTAAGCATACATCACTTTATCGGAAGTCATACAAATTTTCTCCAAGCTATAATCAAAATAGCATGACAGTTAAGACCATGGGATCCGGAGACAAATCTGGTGTTGAGTTCTAACTTTGCCATTTACTAGTTCTGTGACCTTGAGCAAGTCATTTAGCCTTGGTTTCCCCATTCCTCAATTTACTATAGGACTTAGTGTAGACTAATAAGAGAGTATACGCAAAGCTGAAATATAAAAAATTCCAATTTATTTCAACTGTTAATATTAATATGATTAAACTCTCCTAATGATCAAAAGGAAGCATATTGGTTCCTGATAGGCTTCCATGATCACAGAACCTTACCAGGTCTTTGTTCAAGATGACTGTATCTCATTTGGCCTCATAAGATAGTCTAGCAAAGATCAACTAGCTATAGAAAATAAAGCATCTTAAATATCCCCCAAATCTCCAGCCATTGCTTTCTGTATTTTTGCGTCCCCTAACTTATACTCAGCTAACTCCATTTCCAAAACAAGTGGGCTTCTAAGACCATTGAAAATAAAAGAGCAATTCAGGCATTGACAAATGTGATTTCTTGGTTCAGCCACAGGTAATGATGATATACTGCTGCTAAGTTGCGGAAGAGTGGCTTAAAGGTTCTGGCAATTTGCACCAGCCTGACAGAAAAATGGTTTTTTTGCACGTGGACTTTTAATACCATCTGAAATATTGTCAAGCATGTGAACATGCTAATAGGAATATTGTAATGACAATTACCTGTACAAAATTAATGCCAGAGGTATTTTTTCTTTCATTTTGTTTTGAGCCCTGGAATAAAAGAAGGAAAAGTTTTCCCTATTGCTTTCTGGACATTTAAAAATGAGAGTGTGAGTTTAATGAACAATCAGAGACCAAATGCTGTGTACTAGAGCCAGAGGCAAAAGGAAATCGATGTGAGTAGGCTGGAGGAGTAGGGCAGTTCACAAGTTCTTGCCATGCCTTTGTCCCCAAGGAACACTTTGTGAGTTTAAAAGCAAATGCATGACAGTAAAGAGGAGGAACTGGGGAAACTCTGTGAGCTTGGCTCTGGCCACATTCCTTACACTGGCTCAGAGTATCCCTCTTGGAGGAAGACAGGGAGGCGTGCTACCCAAAGGGCATCAAGATTGTTTGGCCCCTTGTAAGTGATGGATGGACCCCAGC